TGCGTCCGGCGGCGTTCTTGACATTGTGCTTAAAAATGGGTCACTTGCGAACATGTGTACCCACAAATCTATTACCATAAAATTTCTGAAGATATCTTATAACTTCTACTGCAGTATGTGCTGTAACTCCATCCTGTTGAAAATACCCATGTTTCAGTTCACTGTCATACATTAATTCTATGGCTTGTAAAATGTTATGGTATTGTTTTCCATTTGTTACTTGTCACAAAAAAATTGAGCCTATTATCTGTCTTTTTGAAACTGTTGCCAATAACCTTTCTCTTGAGGCAGCAACGTTGTTTCAATAAAATTATGTGGATTTTCTGGAGCCCATGTTCTGTAATTCTGACTGTTTGCATAACCAGATAAATGCACCCTCTTCCGAATAAAATGTCAGGTCTAAGAAATTATCGTGGTTTAAGTGTTCATTAAACCATCGACAATATCGTACTCGTTTGTTGTGATCAGGACGTACCTCCCGCACAATAGAAACCTTATAGGGATTAGTCCAGTCGGTATCTGTTTTAAAAGTAGGTTGTATGGATGTTTCATATAGTAAAACTAATTTTTGCTGGAAATAGTTCTAAATATTATGTAAAATAATAATTATTGTGATATGCACCAGCTGAAAAAGTTGTGTATAATTGTAAGCGCAAGAAAATGTAATATAAAATTTAAAAAAGGCGCATTTTTCTCCCTTCTTTCATGTATAACTTGGAGAATATTGACATTAGAAAAAATAATCAAAGGAAAAAAGTTTCGTTTTGAGATTCTCTTCAAAATAAATGTAGTCTGAAATTTTTATTTTAGGAAACACGTGTTGGTTGTTCTTAAAAACTTCCAAATCCTTGTAATTATAAATTAATTTGATGTTGTTCATTTGTATAGTATCTATGTAAATAGTACACAAGGGTCAGCTTCCGTCTGTACAATTTCAACTATGACAATTTGTTGCGGGTTGCCTAAATATGTGACGTCACACTAAAAGAGTAAATTATTTATGTCCTAAAACAATTTTATTATATTGATGGTAAATATGGGTATGACGTATCAAAAAACATTTACATTTTCATTAAAATACATATTCATTAAATTCCTGCTCGGCAAGAATCAACGGGAAGTACCTTATTTAAACATGTCGGTGCCAAATATGAAAATGAACCTGTAAATTTAGATGTAGAATGTTGAGGAATAATGTATAAGTTAGTTCTTAAATTTATACCATGCACATCAGAATTTCTGGAAAGTAAATTAAATAAATACTTTGGCATTTCATTTTTACAGAGTCGATATAGAAACATTATTAAAAGATATTCAATTTTTATAGACAGGTTAGGTTCAGATAATCTTCTTAAATATGGAGTAATATGTTGTCTATAAGGTACACAGCTAACAAACCTGATGCATGCATTCTGAATTCTTTGAATTTTTGTTTATTATACTATGGTAAAAAATGGTAATAAACTTGACTACAATAAAGTATATTAGGATAAATTATTGCTTTAATAATCTTTAATTTAGTTTGTTCATCAAGTAAGTTTTTTAGATGATATATTGATTTTAATTTATAAAAACATTTTGAGAATACTCGATTTACATGTTCGTTAAATTTTAAATCATTATCGATTATAATACCAAGATTTTTGGCTGACTTCACCCAGTTGATAATAACCCCATTCACCAAAATATTGTTATCAGCACATATTTTATCCCTTTGACGTTCATTCCCCATACACATAGCGACTGTCTTAATTGGATTCACACGTAAACCATTATCACTGCACCAATTATAAAAATCTGTAGTGTCTTCATTGAAAAGAGACAAAGCTTCATTACTTTGAGACGCAGAAAATAACTTATACAATTGGACATCATCAGCGTACAAGTGCACCTGACAATGTCTTATAATCAATGGCAAATCAAATGTAAACATTGAAAACAATAGCGGCCCAAGAATACTTCCTTGAGGTACACCGCACACAGGTGTCTGAAATTGAGAATATTGGTCATTAATTTTCACTCTCTGCATACGTCCATGAAGATAACTGTAAAACCAGTCGATAGCCCGAGGATCAAAACCCATGTATTTCATTTTGCTTAATAATGCAATTGATTGATGCAATTGGTTTGAAATCTGTATATTAAAAAATCGCCGAGAAAAGGACCCTAGTTAGGGGTCGTCCATTAATCACGTGAGGTTTTTAGGCCACTTTTTTACAAAGTGGCTACAAAAATTCAATATTTTCAGAATATTCTTTTGTGAAAATCAATAAAAAAACATTAAAAAAACAGCGGCGGTTGTCATCCAGTGCGGGCGGAGCAACGGACGATCTTACAAAGATCGACCACGTCAATTGGGCGTTTCTTATCGTGATGTCATATCGCAGCTCACAGCAAGACATTCTCGGGCATGGTTGCACGAAAATATACACATGATATGTAACAACAACCCCCCCTCCCCATTGTGAGCAATAGTGATGTTAACCAAAGCCCCCCTCCCCTATTTGGACTTCACGTGATTAATGGATGACCCCTTACCGTTTTTTTTTTGGTTTTTTGTTAATAACTTTTTTATTTTGCAACTTAAATGTCTTGCACCGACGCGAGATAATGTAATTACCTTTCGATCCTTTTTTGCCGAATTTCGATATCTTGACTTGGGCAGAACATATACGCGCTTGCGTTTTCAACTTTATAATTTTGCAGTACGTCGCCATTTTGAAATTGAGGTCCGGATTGCAGGAATTTATTGCGCATTGCAACAGTTATCTTTTCCTGTAGTTTCATCCAATTTAAATCGAATTTGTTCTTTCTGATAATTTAGCACATTTCTCTTTTCACCGCTAATTTTGCAATATAAAAAAAATTTTGCGAGCTTTCGCAAAAGCCTACACTGGAACAAAATCAATAAATATAGCTCATGTCGATTAGAGGCTTATTTTCGGAGATATAAGCGAAAAACTGAAAAAAAGCAATTATTTTTTTCTATAGTTATAAGCAATATGATGCTCGATCTCTACAAATACACAAATTTAGGCTTTTATTCTGTGTATTTTTTACTTAATTTTAAGCCCATAAAATTCGAGGTAGGCCCGATTTTTTAAACAGGCATGTGTTTGATCTAATTCACCCGGATTATATGTACATTTGATGCGTTGTCGTGTACTGTTGCTGTTACGTAAATTTTCCATTCATTAATTCATAAATATTAGTTAAATACAGCGCTAGTATGCATCTCGTCAAACAGTATCATATTTAAAATGGCAGTTTTCATTTTCCTTTCATTGTTTGCGTATGAGGATAGTCCCAGAAGTACCCGGCCTGGCCTAGAGATGGCGGTAGTTGTTTGAAAAATATCACTGTATTAGAAAGTACACAATCTATAAAGCATATGTTTCAAGTTTGAAAACGCCATGTTGTTTAGTATTTGTTTGACAGCCATCAATAGTGAACGTTTTCAGTGAATTTGTGAAAATGCAGAAAATTGGTCATTGTCTTGATGAAACAACACATTCTTCTTAGCCAAATGCGGCCGTTTTTGCTTGACTTCTTCGCTCAAATGTTGCATCAAGTTCGCATAATAATCGCCGTTGATAGTTTTTTCTTTTTCAAGATAGTCAATGAAAATTATCCCACGCACATCCCAAAAAACCGACGCCATGACCTTGCCTGCAGATGGAACGGTCTTTGCCTTCTTTGGAGCCGGATCTCCCTTTTCAGTCCATTGTTTTGATTGTTCTTTTGTTTCGGGTGTGAAGTGATGGACCCATGTTTCATCCATGGTTATGAAACGGCGCAAAAATTCTGCTTTGTTGCTGTGAAACTTCGCTAAACACTCAACAATTGAAACATCTACACGACACTGTTTTTGCCCGAGTGTGAGCAAACGCGGCACCCATCTTGCACACAGCTTTCTCATGTCCAAATTTTTAGATAATATGCAATGTACCACACTTTTTGAAATGCCTACTATGTCTGCTAGCTCGCGCACTTTCAGTCGACAATCATCCAGTACCGCTTTGTGGATTTTCTTCACCATTTCTGGAGTCGTCACCTCATTGGGTCGACCACTGCGATGCTCATCTTGGCAGCTCATACGGCCTCGTTTAAACTCTGCTACCCAATATTTTACTGTTGTAAACGAAGGAGCAGGCTCACCCAGAGTAGAATCTAGTTCAGCTTTTATATTGGTTGGGCTGAGGCCTTTCAAATAAAAGTATTGTATCACATAACGATGTCCAATTTTCTCCACTTTCACAAATTCACTGAAAACGTTCACTATTGATGGCTGTCAAACTTGAAACATATGCTTTATAGATTGTGTACTTTCTAATACAGTGATTTCAAACAACTACCGCCATCTCTAGGTCAGGCCGGGTACTTTTGGGACTGCCCTCGTACATATTCATCATGATATTGTGTATACATCAATTGGTCTCCTATTTAATTTTTCTATTTTTTAGGATTTATTCAAATACTTTCATGACAAGGCACTTTATAATCGGGCTCTAAATATTCCATTAAGTTTTGAATTGATTGCTTTTAGGTAAACTTTAGTGGCAATATTTTCTGATATCACATTGATGTTATTATGCGCAGCTAACAGGATAAGCTTCATTTCTTCTTTTCACTTTGTTAAAAAGTTATATTGAAATATAAATTGATCTCTTTCTTTTTCTTTGTAATGTGAAATATACCACAATGCTTGATTTCTAGTTTTAATATCTTTGGAATTGCAGTACTGCACTTCTTATTTTTGTGAGTAGAATTGTTCTTAGAGAGTTTAGATAACTGTAACATGTAAAAAAGGTATGGGTGATCAAACCAGTCAGTAAATATATTAAACTTGCATAAATTATGAAAATTGGACTAAATAGTTTTATTTTGGCCCCAGCTTGCTGGCACATACACTTCAGGGGCACCCTGTATTACGTAAGTGATCAAATGTGCCTAGTTAGCTGGGATCGCTTACAAACTAAGGTGATTTTCGCTTTTTTTAGGATAAATTCATGGCTTATTTAGAACCACAGCAACTGGACATAGATACGACTGACCTGAGTAATGGTACCCTCTCGAAAGCATTTAAGTTTGCCACGAAGACAAGGTTAAAGGTGGGGAGGGCGTTCTCCTTCAACAAAACACCGTCCAAATTAAAGAGAGCAGTGTCTTCAATGATGTCGCCATTTGGCAGTTCTACGAATCTCACTCCAGCATCCCAACTTGCTCAAATGAGGCTTGCCAGTTACAGTAATATTAATGTGAGTAAAGCACTCGTTATTGCTAACTGTTGCATACATAACCTTTTTCACAGGTAACTAATGATTGGTATTGTTTTGACATTTTTTTTGTGATCATTTTTACACTGAATTTTAATCGATAACATTTTATTTGTGATTGTATCTATTTATTTAATTCTGAGTATGTATTGAAATGTTTGGTAACAAATTATTAAACTAAATTTGTTTTATTTGCATGCAAATATGGTATGAGAACTTTCCTGAAAAATATATTATTTCTAAATTTCTGTTAACAATTAGAGGAATTTTAAGTTATGGTTGAATATTTTATTGTATTTTTATTAATATACTTAATTAATTAACTTTTGATTTATTCTTAATCCTCATTTTGGTTACTTGGGTGTGTATAAAATCGAAATTTTAAAATGTTAATAAAGATTTATTTAAAAATACAAAATAGCGCTAGATGAAATAGGGCGCTAATATAAATCTGCCTAAATAAAACATTGTTCAATTTAATTCATGTACAGGGTGGGCTAATTTCAACATTTTTGCGATATTTCTCATATATTCAGAGGACCTAGAGAAAAGGTAATCAAGATGTCTTTGACTTAATTTTTCAGAAAAATTGAATGACAATAATTGCATCTCGATACGTTGATTAGTTTAAAATATACAGGACTTTTAGTTTTTAATTGATTCTTAGTGATATCATTTAATTTGTTTATAGAAATTTTTGTTTCTGTAGGGTGATTTTTATTTATTTTTTTTTAATGAGGTGCTTTAATACTTCATGTTTTAAATGATACAGGGTAGATGTATGTACGGGACCCTGAAAAATATAGTCTTTTAAGGGGTTACACCACTTTAGAATTTTAAAAAAATGTTGTTTTTTGCTTAAAATAGAATATGAGACAAAAGGTTTTATACATGAAATTTTTTTTTTAATTGCGCTTTTCCTGAAGCGTGTCGAGCGTCTCTCATAGGGCTACCTGTGCTATGAACATACTCACTTGGAAGGTACCGCGTAGCTTCTTCCCTATTGATTTATTATAACTTCTCTAATACATTCATAGATGTCGTTACGGAGTACGCATGTACAATTCAAGCAAAATTTTCAAACAAAAGTACGTTAGTGTAGCGTCAGTGCACATTCATGTTTAAAACTCATTTTAAAACTTTAAACGGGTTTTTCTTGAAACACACTTTTTCAAAACGGCACACACCATAACTCCAACAATTTTCAATATTTTCGTTTGAAATTTTAACCATATATTTAAAACAACATTTTGAAGAGAAACGCGTACGAATTTTTTGATAAGTTAATTTAAACAATTGTTATAAACAAATAACTGCCCTTTTTTCTTCAAAAATTTAACGTTTTACCTTGAAATTTGCACTATAGTAGGATCATATTCGATTCGACGGCAACATGCTTCAGGAGAATGGCTCCAGTGCCGCCATTTTGAAATATTTTTTAAAGAAAAAAGTTTCCTGTACACTTAATACATGCCTAATAACATACTTAAACAGTTGTTTTCTATTACCTTTCCCTCTATTAAAAAAAAATTGTCAAAAAAAACGCTTTTTTAGGCCGTTACACTGGTGTAATCCCTTAATCCAAGTTTCTTCATTTAGCCACTAGATGGCGTCGACATAAAACTAGGTTTTTTTTGTTTTAATAGAAAGCACTATCCAATTTAAATGAAATTTGATATGTTAGTATTTTTGTATTGATGTATGACTTTTCAACAGATTAGCCAAACTAATTACATTTACAGAAATGGAAGAATTACCTTCAGCCTTAAGCAAATATGCTCATATTTTTTTTTTGCAGCTGACGTTACAACTTATGCTCTTATTTTGTCTTACAGGTAAGAGCTTATTTAAATTTTTTTTATACAAATTTGATTTAGATGCTACCAAAAATTTGATTTATTTGATAACAAAAACCAAATGAAGCTTTGTTAAGTACAGAAGTTTTAATCAAATTTTCGTTCAGGAGAATTATTGGAAATAATTTTTAATTCTGATTAAAATAATAATAATAACCACTTTTTAGATTTCCCCCTTCCTGTAAATTATGATTGTCAAATTGGAATATCCGTGAATTATTTTTATTTGAAGAGCTTTCAATTAGATGAATTCAGTAGGAAAGATACATAGATAATTTGCACAATGAGGAAAACCTGTAATGAGTGAAATTCATTTTTTGTTGTTTTATGTGTTATTGAAAATGGAGAGCTCGTAATTAAAAACTCAAAATCCATTTTGTTTTATTTTCACATAAATCGAAAATTAGATTAGAATTAGACATTAAATCAAATTTGTATCGAAAATGTGTTGATGAAAACCGAAAACTATAAAATAATTCATTTCACGAAAACCATTAGATATTAAACAAAGGACCCCACACAAAATATATGGAAAATGATCTTTCGGTAAATCTTGCTAAAATTTTGTAGAGGTAGGTTTCAGCTTGCCGAACAAGTCTCGATGACACCAAGATCAAAAAACCTCACCCAAGGCCACTGTGCGGCTTCAAATATACGAAAAAAGGTATTTCCTTGAATCTTGCTAAACACAGGTTAACATTTGATCCACAATCGCCATGGTAGCGCAGTCGGTCGAGAGTGCAGTGGCAAGCATTTCTCGGCTAGGCTTCCTACTCTGGTCCGGGTTCGATCCCCAGTGTCGGCACTGGCAATGTCGATAGATAATGGGTGTTTGTCCGCGTTTTTTCAAGTGTAGCCCCCTTCTGCACAAGCCTTTGGCTTTGGATTTGGGGGTTGTCTCATTTCTGTGGTGTGTTTTATGTTTTTTTTTTACAATGAAACATCCGAAGCGTTCTGGTCCTTATAGGGTATTTGGGGTCACTGATTACGATGAGTAGGTCAGTTAACTCTTTGAGTCATACATGATTCTACAGCATATTTTTGTCTGAATTTTTTTACTCGGGGGTTTTCAGGGTCACTAATCGCGAATATGAAGTTAGATTTTCATAGTTACCAAATCCAAGATGGCGGATCCAATATGGCCAACGGTGAGTCATGCATTCTTCTACTCAATGTTTTTGTCTAAATTTTTTTACTCGGGGGTTTTTAGGGTCGCTAATCGCGAATATGAAGGTAGATTTTCATAGTTTCCAAACCCAAGATGGCGGATCTAATATGGCCGACGGTCACCTCCGGTGACCTTGGAAACATATTTGTGAATTTTTCCCAGATTTTTTTGACAATCAGTTCTCTACTTGACCTTCAACATGACCTTGAATGACCCCTGGGAGTCGCTGCGGGGTCAAACGAACTACGGTTTCGTGATTGCATCACCTCGAAAACATACGTATGACGGCTATTTATCTACTTGACCTTGAAATGACCTAAAATGACCTTGAAACTGATGTGATGGAGCCTAACTGACCTACTCATCAAAATCAGCGACCTCAAAAACCCTATAAGGACCAGACCGCTTGGGTGGCCTTAAGTGAGGTTTTTGATCTTGGTGTCATTGAGACTTTTGTTCGGCAAGTTGCAACCTACCTCTCTGCAAAATTTCAGCAAGATTTACCGAAAGACCATTTTCCATATATTTTGTGTGAGAGAAAAGAGAGAAAAAAACTTGTTTACTATGCCTAAAGGTGACATTTATACCCAGTTAATTACCAATTGACCAATTAATTACTTAATTATTAATTACCAAATAATTAATTAATTATTAGTCAATTTCATTTAAATTGGACAGTATTTTTTTTATTTGGAAAAACAGTTTCTTGTCAATTTCAACCATCTGCCATCTAGCGGCTAAATGAAACAACTTGGTATAGAGGTAAGTTGTGTCAGAACACCATATTTTAGGGTCCCTACAAGTATCTATGACAGTCCATGTTACGAATCACAAAAAGTACCCATTGTATGAAATTTTTTTTTTTGCTTCTGATAAATATCAATATTGTGCTGGCGATTATCGAATTGTTCTATCTCCACTTTTACTCAAATTGTAATTTTTAGTGATATAATGTATGTTAAAATTATTAAAAAAATCGGTGTATATGAAAAATATATTCTCTAGTGTCCTTGAAATTTTTTAATGGAGATCGATAAAAATAATAATCACTTATGACATTAAAGTGATAATTTGCAAAGAGAAGGGGATATAGCACAAACCAATAATCGTCGACAATTGCTAATTGTCTATGAATGGTTTAAATAAAAAACGTTAAACAGTGCCTTTCATTTTTACGGGATCTTTTGTGAATTTCAACATGATACAGCAAAATTTACCTTATATGAAGAAATATTGCAAAATTTTGTTCACAAGATTTTTTTCATAATTTTGGGGGCATGTGGAGAAAATAAATTAATTTTGTCTTTACAATAAAATATTTTATATTTAGACGCAGCAGTGTTCCTACTCATCTTTTTTAGAAATATTTACCTATTTTTTTTTATTAGTTTAATAAAATCAAGTACATTTTTGTGTTTGTCAAGAAAAAAGTTAAACTTTTTTCTATTAGAAGAAACAATATAAATAATTATTACCGTTGATATATTGATGAAAAAGAGAATGCATAGAAGTCTTAATTGTATCATGACACAGTTGAATAACATTTTTTTCTTGTTTGACCTTAAAAATGTGTGAGAAAATATCATCTAAGTAATCATAGGTAAAAGTGATTAACTTTTAAAGTACGATCATAGGGATGTATTGCCTCTAACCCCAATTAAAACCTCACCTTGAATTTCAACTCTATAGTAGAGGCTTGAGGCAAGATTTGACTATGATCCTACTCTGATAATTCATTTATCACAATGAGTAAATATATAATACTTATGTGTTAATCACTGAAAATTGAAAATTTTAATATATTTATACAAGGTGTTTTTTTAAATCAAACTTTCAAATATCTCGAAAAATAAGCACTGAAAAAAATGTCCATAATTTAAATTTAATTATTACACCACGGAGAAAATACATTAGTGCCAAAATTCTCCGCCCCGCCCCCTCCTTGTAGGTGAGGCGGG